GAAGTCCAAATCCACGAAGAGAGAAGAGATTCCACAAGGAGAGGAAGATCAAGTCTTACAAGATTCGGCCAAGAAAGTTCTCTTCTTGTTGAATTCATCGTCATATCTCTACTCCAATACCACATCGTACAAGTCTTTCCAACTCAAATTTGTTTCAAGAAAATAATAAAGAATCAAGAAGTACAAACCGAATGCAAGAAGGAAATCAAGACCGAAATGGATTCCAAGATGGTGGCTGAATGGGAATCTTGAACACCACCCAAGAGAAAGACTTTATCTATTAATTAAAGTATTATATTTTAATCAAGTTTCTGATTTCTAATCGCATTAGGATTTCTTTTGTTATTAACTCTTTTATTATTATTTAAGTGTAATTCTAGTTTAAGTAGAATTAAGAGTTTAATTAAACTTATTTAATTTGTTTTCTAGTAGAATAAGTAGATGGAAATCTATATAAGGATGCCACCACCCCCCTTTGTAATTCACAAGTTCAATATTCAATAAAGTTTCAAGTTTGCTTTTATCTCTTGCTAATTGTGTGAGTGCTCTCTAAGAGGATGTCTACAACCATCTTGCCGAATGCTGGGTTGATTCAACTTATCAAAATAAATTTCTTGTGACGTTTTGTCAATCCTTCTTGAATTGATTTCACTTATCAAGATTATATCTTGCGTTGTTTAATCAATTCAACTTTCATCTCTATTATCTTAGTTGACATTCACAAATTGAGTGTAGGTTAGGTAGAGAAGATTTGTTGAGAGTTTTAAAATTCTGGATGTTAGACTCTCTATGAGGTTTTTGATCGCATTAGTTAATCTTGAGTTCCATATTACTATTTAGGGAAGAGGAATTAGGGCTGGTGGTGGTGGAGTTTGAACCAAAATTGGCTCTTATGGAGGAGGAGCATAAGGCCAAAATTCACTACACATTGGTGGCTGGAACATATGTAGGGAAGAGGAAAGGAAAGGATTTCAACTCTATTTGGGTGTTATAAAGCATCCAAAAAATAAGCCAATTGTTGGCATAGAAGACAATGCAATGGAGTTTTTTTGTGGAATTAGAATATAAGAAGGAGAAGAGAAAAGCTAAGGAAGCAAATACTAGGAAAAGAAAAACCACGAAGAAGGGGGTCAAGGGAGTTGAAAAGACTACAATCTATGATTAATTATGATTGTAGGTTGAGAAATAGTAAAAGGGATGGGGGCTGAAATAAAATGATAAGAAAATGTTATCATGGTATGTTAGGAGCAAATTATAAGGGGATGTAGGTCAAGAATGAAACCGGAGATTACATGCCTACAAGAAACCAAAATGGAAGCATTGGGAGATAAAAAAAAATTAGGAGTTTGTGGAGGGTGAAAAAAATGAGGTAGCTTGCTTTTTCGGCAAAAGGAGTGACGGCTGGTCTTGTAATTATGTGGAGATCGAAGAATTCAACCATCTTACTCAATAATTGATCGGTTTCTGGTGTCTGATGACTGCATCCTAAAGCTATCAGGTCTGTGTCAAAATATTCTACAAAGGCCTATTTATTTCTGACCGTTTCCTTTAAACTTAGTTGCAAATGACATCTAATGGGAGCTAGTTCCGTTTAGACTCGACAACAAGTGGCTAAAGATGGACGAGTTCTGTGTCATGGTTGAGTAGTGTTGGAAGAATACCGAGA